GTACCTGGAGAACCCCCAATCAATAAAAAATAATTAACACACTCATTCGTCAATTAATAAACCACTCTCGTATCGCTACTCTTATCCGAGTCTCCATCCGAGACTGCTTTCAGCAATGTTTAAGGGACCTTCACATACCCCGTCCACCGATAGACGCTCCAAAAATGTTTTTCTTGCTACTCAAAGCCCCTCTAACTAATCGGAAATGATTAAATAATTAATTTGCCAATTACTTAACCACTCTCGTATCTCTACTCTCGTCCGAGACTTGATCCGAGACTGCTTTCACCAATGTTTAAGGGACCCTCAATTACCCTTTCTACCTACATTGGGTCCACAAAGGATTTTCAACTTATCTAATGCACCCTCAATAAATAAACAAATTGATTTGTGAAGGCATAAACAACTCTCGGATGCACTCTCGGACGAGAGTCTTTACTGGAGTTTGGCGCCCTAACCTCCGAAAATCCGAGAGTCGAATGTGTGTCCATTCCGAGAGTCCCTAGTCTCGGACTCATCCACCAGGGTACTCCTGCTTTTCTCTGTAACTCGCCCCCCCCCCCTTTGCTTAGATGGTAAAACTCAAGAGCAATAAAGGAAATGAAATTTTGATTTATGACACGTCAAAATTTTCGATTTTCAACTATTTATAAGCATATTTCGAGTAATTTTTTTTCAACCCCTAGGTGCTCATAATACCAAATTTAAAAAACAATTGAAAGACGCATTTTTTAAATTAGGTCACGTTTTATTTTTCTCGTCTTTTTTTCAGTAACTCTTGTAATCATAACAACTATTTTGAGCCATCACACAAGTTGGGTTTCATCCTAGATCTATTTTATTTTCAATTTTTTCTTCTCGAAATTCCACGAATTTGGTCAAAAGACTCCAAAATGGCGTTAATTATCTTCGATTATAAACGCTATGAAGTGAATTTAAATGTATACTAATACGTTACATATTTTTTTGTTACATAATCGATGCCGTTTTTGGCTGTTTTCACCAAATTCGCAGAATTTCGAGAAGAAAAAATTGAAAATAAAATGGATCTAGGACGAAATCCAACTTGTATGACAGCTCAAAATCCTTGTTTTAATTATATGTATATAAGAGTTACTGAAAAAACAAAGAGAAACATAAAAGGTGACATAATTTTGAAAATTCAAGTTTTTCAATTTTTATTTTATTTTGGTATTATGAGCACCGAGGGATTGAATAAAAAATTACACAAGATCTTCTTATATATGGTAGAAAATGGAAAATTTTGAGCCGTCATAAATAATTGGCTGAATAGAACCCTAGTTATTGAAAAAAAGAAGTGAAAAAATAAAGAAAAAATCATATCTCCGAAATGGGTTGTCGAAATTTTTTTTTTTAAATTGAGAGATTTTCTAGCCCCCAATCGTGGAAAAAATTGAGATCAATTGCCAAAAGAGTGCGGGTCAGCCGTTGACTCTTTTCACATGGAATACCTCATATATTTCCACTATCAATTTTGTACATTCAATTCGGTTGAGCACTAAATCAGAAAATATTGAATTGTCGTAATTCCGTGATTGGTAAACTTCAACTTCAATCACTGTCGCTCATTGTAAAGTCGGCAATCGGTGAAACGGCGAATCTACTGACAGTAGACATAACCCCATTTTTAACCAATACCTCAGTCCCTTAATAATCCATTATGTTGAATTCACTCAAGTGTTTATGAGGATTGTTTTGTTCATGGATGCAAGAGGGCTAACCAGCTCCTCAACGAACATAGTTCGGTGATTGTTGCCGACACACAACGAGAATGTCAGCTATTATCGACGATAAGATCGTCGCTGGGGCGAAGAGTCCCAGCGACGTCAAGGAAGATCCCATTGTTGCTCTCACTGTAAGTTATTTTCAAAAAAATATCGTCCCTTTTCAATTCCACCCCTCGCCTCATCGACAATTTTTCGTGAACTAATTGACAAATTTTATAGGAGAGAGTGGAGTTATTGTACCGTTTTCGTAATCACTATTTCGAAAATCACTCGATTGAAAACGCTATAAACAAAAAGAATGACATTGAACGAGAGATGAAAGAGACATTGGGGAAGTTCGACGAGTTCAAGGGCTATGAAATCGATGGCTGCAGGGCGAAATACTATTATCTGAAGGGAAAGGCCTTCAATGTACTGGATAGATTTGTTCCCCAGGCTGAAGAGCTACTTAGTAAAGCTGTGAAATTGGAACCCAAGTTGATTGATGCCTGGAACGAGCTTGGAGAGTGCTACTGGAAAAATAACGACATTAAACAGGCTAAGAATTGCTTCGTGGGAGCATTGCCTCATGTAACTAACTATTTAGGGGAGAGGGGCAAAATGAAACAGCCGACAAACAACTATTTAACGCAATTCAAGCAAAAAAAAAATTTTGTATCGACTTTTGTTTATCAACTTTTTTATAATTGGGAGTACTGATGAGAATAATAATTCTTTATTGGTCTTATAATTCAATTGTTTAGATTAGGCCGATTATACTTTTCTTTCATCATTTTATTGAAATTCAGCATCACATTTTCCTTTTCCCCCTTCTGGGTCTCCCCCTGGGTCTTTGGATTTTGCTGTTTCATTTTCTTTTTGATTAATCCATTGACAATTTTTTCCCGTCAAAACTTCTTTATAATTTTCCATTCTACTGAATAATTTTCCATTTAGTAAAATGGAAAATTATTATTCCCATCAGCCCTCCCAAAATGAAAAAAAAATTGATAAAAAAACTTAAATAAAAAATTTTGCTTGAATTGCGTCAAACAGTCGTTTTTCGGCTGTTTCATTTTGCCACACTCTCCCCTATGATTTCATTTTCAATGAATTATTGAATGAATCAATGAATCAATATTCGTTTCAATTCAATGGAAAATTGTGAAACTTTCTTACATTTGAGTTATTGACAATATCATTCTCTTTATCGTTAGTATTTGCCTAATTCTCTTTGTTCCATCTCTGGACGATTTACTTAATCCCCTTGTTATTTATCATTAACTATCATCTCATTAGATGAATGGAGGAAATTAGTCCAACAGATTTGATCATCTTGGGAAGATCTTTGGAGGGAAAAGATTGACAGAGAATTATTAGAAGATTATTCACTATAGCCCACGAAGTTTTCTACATAAAAAGTCTGCATAAGCGTTCTCCCTAAGGGCTGGGATTTGCCACCATTAGGGATGATTTAAAATATCTGCGAATTTAAGCACTCTAGAAAACAAATGAAATTTCATGAACAGATTAGTAGTATTTTTTCTTAAGGGAGCGACATTTAATTCGTTTGAAGGGGAAAAAACTTATGGAATTTCAAAATTCACAGAAAATCCAATGGAATTCACCATTTTTGAGCAGGAGGAAGACAATTTCCCAATTCACTTGGATTTTCCATTAAAAGATGCATATTCAGTACTAAATTACATTGGTTTTTCAATTGTAACTCACGAATACATTCAAGTGAATTTTCCTGCCTTCTAATAATTCTCATCGAGTAATTGAACAGAAGTTTATATTTTCTACTGATTTAATTTTTTAAATATTTTTTTCTTATTTGATTTTTCCATCAAATTGTGAATTTTCGATGAGGAAATTCTTTGAAATGTCAACGGAACTGTTACTTGATACATATTTTTCAGCAGTTTACCAGATATTTCGGCCAATAATTTCTAACAGTGAGAGAGATGAAGGAATTTACATAATTATTTTTTTGAAGAGTAAATTTCTTTCCAGAGCTCACAAAGGCCCCTATGGAAATTCCGCCATCTGTTTTCGACTCAAAAATTGTCTGTGAAACCCTCTTTTAATGAATTTTGTTCCCATTTTGTTTTGGATTCAGGGAAGAAACAAAACATCCTTGAGGAATTTATCAATGGTGTTGAGACAAGAACCTGCTGATAATCAGAAACAGAGGATTGAGAATATCAAACTGGGGGTGGAGTATGCAAAAGAAGCTGTGGGGATGGACACGAGCGATGGTGCCTCTTGGACAATCCTAGGGAATGCGTATTTGTCTTCTTTTTTCACTATTGCACAAAATCCTGCCACTCTGAGGCTCTGTATGTCGGCCTATGCCCAAGCAGTAAGTTCCTTCTCATTTCTGCATTAATGATGAGAAATCATTCATTGATGAAAGTAGTAAGTAAGAAATTCAAAAATTCACACAAATCATTTTGCAGATATCTTGACAACTATTGAGTTCGCACGAAAAAATTTAATTGAAAAACCTAGCGAATTCGTTAGAAAATTCTATTGCATTTCTGTTGAACTTTCTATTCTATTATTAGTTTTTGGCCGATTCTATTAAAATATCAATAAAAAAAGTCAATAGAATTCGATTTTTCTATATAACTTATTCTCTTCAGATATTTTTTATAGAACTTTCTCGGCTCAAATTTTATAAGTTTTTTTCATTCTATTTTTCTTTTCATCTCATCAAGAAAATCAAACAAAAAAACGTGGAAAATTTGAGCCAAGAAAATTCTATACAAAATATCTCAATAGAATAAGTTGTATAGAAAAATCGAATTCTTTTTTATTATTCTACTATAGAATATTTTCTGTCGAACATTTCAATAGAATCGACCAAAAACTAATAGAAAGTTCAATAGAAATCCAATACAATTATCTAGCGCCTTCGCTAGGTTTTTCTATTCAATTTTTTCACTCGCGAGCTTTTCTTGTAGCTGATAAAATTCACTGCAAAAAAGATTCTTTGATCATATTCTCTAAACCAATTCTTGTACGAAATCTTTCAAATGTAATCTATGGATTTATTCTTGAATTTATCTTACACAACTACTTCATATGACATATGAAATCCTAATTTACATAATTTTGTTCATTTTAGGAGAAAGATGTCGTAGCCAAGAGTAAACCCTATCTATTTTTCAATAAAGCTACGGTAAAATTCATTTTTGCTAAAATTAATTCGGTAATGTAATAGTGAGAGGAAATAAACCAAAATGAATTCTTAGATTCTTCTTAAATATCTTCGAGAGGACGGGATTGACAAATTTATTAAACAGTTTTTCGATATTGCTTCCGGATGGAAGCTTTGTAATTGCTCAAATTTAATTCTCCAATATTTGTGTTAGGATAATTGATTCATGATCTTGACTAAATTCTGGCAGAATCTGGGTTAAATTGTGGCGAAATCCCGAATGAACCCTGATTAAACTCCGGCTATACCCTGATTAAGGGGAGACTACTATGACTTTTAAAAGTCGCGGGCTATTGGAATGAGATTTCTTATACATTCAAGATTGATTATATGTGTCTAAAAGCGAATGATTAGTGCAACAAAAAATTGTTTATTGTTCATTTACCCCGCAGACGCTTCAAATGTTGAAAATAGTCCAGGGCTTCCAATTTTGGATCTAGGGAGGTTTTATTTTCAAATTTTTTTTATAAAATATGTACAATGACAATTACAAATTAATTTTCCAAATTTCGTCTCTTACACAGCTAATTTCGTTTTGTTTAATATAAAAACTTGCGCCATTCATGTAAAATAGATAACAAAATTATCCTGAGACTTTGCAAAATATGTTCTCGATTCTTTTAGAAACATTTTTTGGGCTATTCTACATAAATAGTGCAATATTTTATTTAAAAAAAAAAATTAGCTGTGTAGGATTTGAATTTCAAAAAAGTAATTTGTAATTGTTATTGTACACATCTTTTTACAAATTTTGAAAAAAAAAAACCTCTGTAGCTCAGTAATTGGCAGCCCTGCACTATTTTTAACATTTCAAGTGTCTGAGGGGGAAAAGAACAATAAATAATCAATTTTTTGCACTAATTATTCATTTTTAGACATATACATATAATCAATCTTCAATGTATGAAAAATCTCATTCCGAGAGCCCGTGACTCTTAAAACTCGTAGTAGTTTCCCCTTAAACCTTGAATAAACCCGGACTGAAAAGGAATTCGAGTCTTGAGAGGGTGTGAATGTAGAATTATCTGACAGAACAAAATAATACGTAAAATTTTGATGAATTTTTAATGATAGTACTATGAAATGAAAAAATAGAAGATGGGAATAGTGAAATAAGAATTAAAAGCAAAGATAATCCATTCGGAAGCAAATTTCTAATTTGTTAGCAACAATAACTATACTCATTAATAAAAAAAATGCAATTACCCACTTGTTTTTCACTCGAAGCCATGGATATTTGAAATTGATTGAAATAAAATTTTGTGTTATCTCCTCTCACGAATTCCCTGCAGCATTCGTGCATGTTTCTAATCTTGTTCCATACAACAGGCATTGAAGTATCAAGAAGAATATGAATTAGCATTGGAGGCATTCAAACGTGCAATGTTGCTCGATCCTATCTGGGAAGTGCCACGGACAAAATTCGATGAATTACTCAAGTACCTTAAAGACGTACAAAATTCAATCAATACCAAAGGAAGATTGAAGCCTAAAAGACTCCATCAAATGATTCAGGTAAAGTGTAACCAACGCAATAAAATAATCATTAAGGCGTGGTTCACCCCAGGAAAAACCCCTTTTGTTTTTTTCCCGGGAAAACAAATTGAAAATAATATTGTCCGTTTTTTTCCCTCCGAAATCCGATTTTGTAGGTCAGATTTGTCTCCAACCGCTAAAAATTTGAGTTTCAATTTTTTTTGAATTGATAAATCAACTTAAAAAAAATCTCTAACATATTTTTTAAAAATAGTTTTTTCAATATGATTACAAATTTTTGTTTCTTAATTATGAAAAATGCGGGAAAAGATGCATTATTTAAGTTTATTAGTCAACTAAAAAAAATTATTATTTTCAATCGGTCGATTATATTCTTGAATTTTTTTTTATGAATCAATTAGCATAAGCGCGTGCCCGGTGGCTTGGCGCAGTGGGTAAGTTCGTTGCCTCACATGCGAAAGATTCAGAGTTCAAATTCCGGCCGGGTAGAATGGTGCGATCTAACCATTTAAAGTCTTGATCATCATCCCAGTATACCCTAACCGGGCCGAAGCGATGTAAAATAACGATAAAAAAAAATTAGCATAAGCGAATTTCCAAAAATGACTGGGAAATTAATGGAAACCGGATTTACCCGAAACAGGATTACTGAGCTCTCTTAACTATAGAGTAATAAAAAAAACTAGATACATGCAGAGAGCATAGCAATCATCAATTTCAAAATGAGTTAAATTTAGCTTCTGTTAACTGATAATATTACCCAACAATTTTCAGTCACCAAATTAATCATCAATCGAATATTCGAATTTCCAAATAATCTATCAATCAGTAATCGTGTCAGAAGTTTGACCATTACATGTTTAATTAAAAAATCCTTTTATGAAATTTATAATTATTTACTCAATAGTTAATAGAAAATTTTAATCATGAATTATCATATTTTCAAATTTCAAGGAAGATAATAAAATGATAGTAATAGAAACGTGCAAATTATAATAATAGAGACTGGTCGCTGGATACATATATGAGAACCAGTAAACATAGAGTTAGCATTAATAAATGAAGTTTATACATAATATTTGGGTAAGATAATTTTTTTTTCGAGACATCAATGGAATCATCATTTCCTGCATTTTTTATAATTAAAGAGTAAAAATTTGTGATCATAGTCAAAAAACTGTTTTAAAAAAATACATTAGGGATTTTTGTTAAGTTGACATTTTGATTAAAACAAATTTAACATTTTGATTAAAATAAATCTCTAACTTTGAGTGGCCGGAGACAATTTTGACCAACAAAATCAGATTCCTGAGCAAAGATCACGCGGAAAATAGTATTGTGAATTTTTTTTCTTGAAAGACGAAAAAGGTTTTTTCCCGGGGTGGCTCAGTAGTAATGTAATGACCATACATAATTTGAAAACACATCTGTACATTAGTTTGCCAATATTCTCAGGAACGAGTGAGTGTACCAAACCTTCTCAAGGAACATTTCCTTTCGAAAATTTCAGTCCACACAAAAATTACCGCTTGGTAAACTCCTTCAAAGTCTTGATGTATTGTCTTTCTAACGTGATCTAGATTTTTGTTCGTTCTCAAAATTTAAATATGCTCCAACCGGCGTTTCGTTCTACATCACGCAGGACTACATTACTTTTTTCCTGTGGAATTGAAGAATTCCTTTCGTATTTTTCTACTTCTACTTATTAATAACTGCCTTTATTCTCAGGCCCTAGATAAGAAACACTTGGGTCCATATAAAGAAGGTTCATACACCTCTGGAAACAAATCGATAAAACTGGAATTGATCCCTTCGAAAGACTTGAACCCTGGTATTAATATTGAAAGAGTTGTTTTTGGGAAAGTTGTCTGCTGGATACAAGATTCAGATGCTGTTCCATTGTGAGTACTTCAAAGAAATTTCACCATTTCCAAAACCAAACAGAAGAATTCTTCAGAAAAAATGACGTTCTGACGAGTGCGCAAAGAATTATTTAGAGAATATTTCTAAAACCAGTGAGTTTATAAACAATTGTAGACTACAAAGCGTATTCTTCAGAGATAGAACAAAAATTTAAATGATTAAATAAAAAAATTATTCCATAATACTTTTGGACCTGAGTAGCTGTAGCCGAAATTAAAAGGATATTTTTATTGTACTATATAAATTTGCGGAATTTAGGAAAAAAATCAACGACAGTGATGAAAATCAATCAAATATCATTTTTGCTGTGTTAATTATGACTGTGTCAACATATAGGAGATGACATTGTACATTTTAATTGACTTAGAGAAAAATGTCTGTCCTTCTGTAGACGCCACATAGAATCTCTTAATATAGTTGATACTGCACACGAACATCATCTGTTATGAATTTAGAATACGAAATGTACAATCTTTGCTTAATTTCATCCCTCCCGCATTTTAGTGCGCTGTAATGCATTTTGAAAAATTGTTTCAAATTTCTATGCTTCTTTCATCATTGTTTCTTTCTATGCATCTAAGAGAAAAACGAACAAGTTGTCAAACGAATCTTGTTTGGACCAACAAAATCGTTTGTTGAAAATTACCAAAAAAATATTGTTCGGTTCAAATTTGAAAGTCGCAAATATGAATAATTGCTCAGCTTTCAACAACAACCAAATATTTGGCTCAAAAGGCGGATCATTCATACAAGACGGTGCCTTTTCAGATAAAAATATCTTTTATAGAGGAAAGTTTATCAAGAAATACTTTGTTCCTTAATTACAAGATTGCTGTCATATCATTATTATTATTTCATTTAAGAATTCATTTTTTGTCTAATTATGGAATAGCCGAAAGGACAAACTACTATCCCTCGTTTCATGTAAACCGAGCATTTTACCTCGTTTCATGTAAAGCGAGCAAAATACGTATGGGAACTAGGGATGTGAGTGACAAAAATGACCGGTCAAATGACGGTCAATTACCGCGGCTATGACGGGTAATTACCTTGTCCATAAATCTGACGATTCCGTCAGGAATTCGAAAAATGACCAATTTAATTCTGACGGTCAATTCTCATCTATATAGATGACACACAGAAATTTTTATTCGGTTACTCGGTGTCGGCAAGGTTGCTGGCGATTATAGGGACCCTACGTCGCCACTAGGGGTCTATGCGACACTAGATAACTAAATTCGTTCAGCAAGCAATTCAGGTGAAGAGCTGAGCGAGCTAGATGAGGGAACCGGTGGCAATTATGAGAATTAAGGAGAGAAGGACTGAAGATGAGCCTCATCCACCATCCTCCTAATTTAGTATGAAGTTTTTGACCAAAAATATAATATATACAGAGATATATATTTAATTAATTTTGTTGACGTTCATTAAGTTCATGAGTTTATCATGAATGATCCCGAGTATCGAATTTATAATTGTTTTGTAATTCGTTCCAATAAACATTAACTTTAAATTATGAAATGCGCTTCCATTCCTAACTAATGAAATAAAATAACCAAAAATCTGACCGAAAAAATTACCACAAAGAAAATGACCGTCAATTTGCATCTATATAGAGGAATTTTGGTCATTTTCTCAAATTTTTGACGCTGGTTGTTCATGACGGTTATTTTGCATGAGGAATTATCTCGGTGTCAGAAAATGGTCAGAAAACGGTCAATTTTGCCTGACCTGACCGAATGGACAAATGACGGCCATTTCACATCCCTAATGGGAATATCACATAGCGAAAAAGTAGTAAAAGAATGAGAGAATAACATTTTTTTGACAATAGAATATCTATTTTGGCACAAGTAAAATTTTATTAAGAAGTCTGCTGTTTTTCTCTCCATGTAGCCCTTAGAGTGTGCTGTATTTACCCCAGAGCATAAATTGAAAGATTAAATAAATAAATAAGTAGATAAAATTCTCAGTGAGAATGGTCTTGTCATCACTCCGGCGATAGTTACTCATTTTTAAAGTATTGATAAAATAATTTATATCATTTTTCGAATCATCTTCTGTCCTCTATTATCAATTTCATTACTGAAGTAATCCCTAATAAAAGTCGTATTCACTGTTGCAGTTCTTTTTGTATGGTCGATGAAGATAAAACTTGTGTAGCAGTAACTGTTTATAATTTTGCTGAGGGTCGTGGTGTGACTGTCGGGGACTCCGTTGCAATCCCAGAGCCATTCCTGACTCATCAACAATTCTCCTTCTCTGGAAATGTTCGTATACCTCCATCACCAAATTTTATTGCTCTCCTTGTTTGCCATGAACCAAGCAACTTTATCATTTTCCTCAATTTTTTTCACCCAGGAATTTGATTTCAAGTCCATACGCGTTGAAACACCCATCCTACTGGTCGTAAATGGTAGAAAGTTAGGTAGAGATCAGCAAGCAGGCGCTAAACTTTCGAGCTACAAGAGACCCGACTGAACTCGTAAGTCAAATGTGTATCAACAATTTTAACCTACTCCATTTGCATCGGGGAGAATTGCATAAGCTCGATAATTCGTCTGTTGAAACTTCGAAAAGTGAAGAAGCGAAGGAGGATTACTCTAACGACAGACATTGGTTGGTTAATTATTTAGGCTCTGTGGTTAATTGTAGGGTAGACACGTACGAAAAAATCTCATAGAAAAACATAACACATTGACAAAGGAATTCTACTGAATTTTTATTGTTCAATAGAAAATATTTTTTGGAAAAGTCAATAGAATTTGTTCCTTCCATACATCTTATTCAATTGTTATATTCCTTCGCCTAAATTTCTTCATTTAATTGTTTTGGTGAAAGGATAAGAATAATGAAGGGAGAAAAAACGAGAAAAATTATATCGATCATTTTCAATAGAAAATATATAAATAGAATACAGAATGACCAATTTCCATTCATTCTTTCTATAAATTAGTTTCAATTGAAGATTTTTTTCAATTGGCAGAATAACCACGTAGGAAAAAATCGTATAGAATCTTTCTATACGGACTGTGTATAGCATTTCTATAGGTTTTTCGTATATGATATTCGGATATTTCTATACGAAAATTTCCTATACGGTTCATTTCTATACGAATTTCTACACGAATTCGTATAGAAATAATCCGTATAGGGAATTTTTGTATAGAAATATCCGAATATCATATACGAAAAACCTATAGAAATTCTATACGCAAATCGTATAGAAACTTTCTATACCATTTTTTCATACGTGACTGCGGAATTTTTCAATAGAATCAACAAAAAACTAATAGCATTCCCAATAGAAATCGAAAAGAATTTTCTAGCGAATGTGTTAGTTTTTTAAATTAAACTTTTTCGTGCGTTGAAATCCTTAATTTCTCGAAAAAATGAATTTTATCTAAAGGAGATTGGAAAATAATTCAATACAGTAGCGAAGTGGTGAAATGAGATGAATCAAATTGGTCAACCAAATTGATCAATTTTCACTTCATATGCTTAAATTAAACCGAAATAGAAGAATTGAAATAAAAACTTCAAATCGTTGCAAAATGAAGAAATCTTCGGGATACAAATTTTGCTGTTGCCGTGGAATTAGGATATTTCCAAAAACCTATAGCAATGCGAAATCATCTTGCATTTTTCATAAGGAGTTTTATATCAATATTTCCGAATCTCAAATTGAAGTGAACTTAACTCTCCTTATTCTAGCACTTCGCTGTCCAATTATAGCAGTTGATGATATTACTCCCTGAAACCCTTCAAACCCAATATGCACAACCAGCACCGAGAGGAAACGGTATAGTTCTCAAACGAGTCTCACTTGTGTCAAATAAATCGTTTGTTAAAAATGATCAAAAAATAATTTTTTGTGCCGAACATGCGAAGTGTGCGTCGAGATTAAAAATTTTGATTGCAAAAATAAATTTAGTCTTTTCAAAAAAATTGTATTCCTGTTTTATTATTTCTGTATTATTATTGTATTTTGCTCCCGGCTAATACTCGTTTTGTATGAAATGAGGGATAGTAGTTTGTCGTTTCCGCTATTCAATAATCAGACAGAAAATGAATTCTTAAATGAAAGAATATTAATGATATAATTTCTTGATAAACTTCCCTCTATAAATGATATTTTTATCCTAAAAAGACACCGTCTTATATGAATGATCCACCTCTTGAGCCAAATATTTGGTTGTTGAAAGCAGAGCAATTATTCATGTTTAAGACTTTCAAATTGGAACCAAACATTTATTTATTTTTTGTAGTTTTCTACTAACGATTTTATTGGCCTTAACAAGACTTGTTTGAGAACTTGTTAGTTTTTCTCTCAGTGAAGAAATTCATTGAATTTTGCTGACATTTTACCGTTTCACTCACGAACAATTCAAAAGAATAAGTAACGCTTGTGATATGAATAATACTAAAACAAATAAAACGTTTGTATAAAATGTTTTCCTATTAACGATTATATAATAAATACTTATTTATAACAATAACAGATTACATTTTCGTTGGTAGATAATAGAAATGAGGGGGAGAGCACTTGGTGTTTGTTTGTCTCATAAAAAAGAGAAATGAGCTTGAGTTCAGTAATTGCATTCAGTCTGACAGCGAGATCACCACAGAGTAATAGTCCTCGAGTTCACAGAATCACTGAAGTTTCTCAAATAATGAAGAAACCTCGAAAGAGTCACATCATAGTCATCAAAAGTTCTGCAATGCGTTTGATTGACAGTGAAACTCACAACGAGGATAAAATCCTTCGTATCGCAGTGATAAAGTCTATCACATCACATGTTGACCTCCCACAGTTTGAAGTAATTATCGATGACCTCGAGGAACCAATCGCGCCTCTTGGAATCCTTGAAGTGTGGCGCTAAGGTGCGCAATTTGAGTTGAAGCACTGCCTCATTATTGAGCAATCCGTCGAGTTCACCGAGTAAACTGGCATCACCATGGAGCTGCAAGAGGCTCGCATATGTGAATATGTAATACTGCACTCGAAGACTATCAATCGCCCATGCCTCCACTGATTTATTGCCACTCGCTGATTGTATGGCACCCATGTGTTTAGCGTACCAAGGTGAAAAGTAATTACGCAGCTCGCGACTCGATAGGTCAGCTACACCATGCGTCTTCAGCCGTTCTTTTATTCTTCGGTATACTTGAGGAGTGTATACGAATACCTGAAATTTAGAAGAATATATTGTTATTTTTATTCTAGATATTTTTTCTTGATTTTCAAGAAATAGACTGACATTGTGGGGTTTTGATCGATTCAATTGGAATGATTGATTTTGGAAATGATTTGAATAATTCTAATGATCTGAATAATCAATTCAATTTTCTCACCTACGAGGTTCTGAAATTGAGGGATTCTGCCTGGTAACTTTAAGCTTTGTTTCTCAGAAAAAAGGTTTTAGTGTCCAACAAGAACTTCTCAATTTCAAAACCTCGTTGTAGTAAAATCTAGCGAGTGGACAATCCTGGATATAAGTGAAATTTTCACTTATTTTAAGAAAATAAGTGAAAAGTTTTCCCAAAAAAGTTCTAATTTATGGCGGTTTTGATGTCAATCTAGTATAATTATATTTAAATTAATTTTGCGATTGTCACATAGAGTATGGGGAGCGCCCCAAAAATGTTTTCAATATTTTTGGCAGCGTATGCAAGCATTTTATTCGTCAAATCCCAAATTTATAATTTTTTGCGTCAGTGCAACTAATTTTTGCCTCGGAATTCCAATATGTTATTTTTAGACCGTACCTGGATGTATGTATGTATATATGTGTGTATGTGACCGATGGTTTTTCGGCGATAACTGAAAAAATAATTGTTTCAATGAATTCAATTATGATTTTAAATATTCTTCCAAATACTATCTCGACCGAGTTTGATCATGAGACTAATTGCATCATCTGTTGTTGGAAAAATTTATTTTGAAACCTTATTTAGACCTTTGTTATCCTTATTTGGACCCTTATTCTCACCATCATGACCCTTATTTTGACCCTCGTGACCCTTAATTTTGGAGTCTTAATTTCGAGTATCAAATTTTCATCACTAGAAGTCGATTTGGATTTTTATAATATAGAAAGATATTCAAGGAAGAAACTGTGTAAAATTTCCGAATTGATCTTCTCTTTACTTCTCTTTAAAAAAATTACCCACCTGATAGAGTGAATTTCCAGTGACAAAAGACGATATATAATGTGAGCCAAAGTTCCTAATAAACGTGATAACACTGACAGTGTCCCCAATAGTAATATTATTCATTTCCCTAGCGACAGTCTCATCAAGAACGAGATTATCAGGTACTCCCGCGAGTTTCTGGTCATCCCTGAACCTGGCTACCCTCACTAGTACATAACAATAGTCCGGAGAGATGAATGACGAGTTGATGCCCAAATTTCTGGCCATCGCAGGCTTTGACCAACTCGCCGTAAATGCCCTCCAGGGTCTCTCCAATAACTCAAAGGAGAAATCACGAAAGTAAGCCTGCAGGAGTTGTCTCACATTGTCACAAAACTCCATGTGAAAGTCTCCTTCGAACACCGCTGCACTTTTCGCACGCAGTCTTGGTGGTGCTGGCAATGGATTCTGGAAGACGTCCACTGTTGGCTCACGAAAGATCCACGGTTCTGTGTCATTTCGCGGTACAACTCGCATACTTATGCTCAGGTAACCGTAACGACTGAATATATTTACACCACCACCGAGCCGAGGATTTTGGCTGTTGATCAAGTGAATCCTAGCGATCACAACTGCCGCCAGGACGAGGAAACGCACACGTTTCCACATCTCAACTGGCAGTTGATGTGGTATCTCTCAGTGTAAACCTGAAATCAGAAAAAGGAAATGTATTTTTTATTGGTTCAGCGATTGGATGAAATTAATTATTTTTGTTGGGGGTTTTCAGATGAAATGATGAAGCAAGTTTTTTATATGCAACTATGACAATTTCTTAATTAAAAAGGTCACTCTTTTTTCTTGCGTATGAACAATTCAGTAGCGACGCATAAAGCGGTTCAAATCTACTTAGCTTTCAGCTGAGTTTTAGGAATATCTCCGAATCTAACGGAGATAGCAAAATTTTCGTAATCATCGTTTTTGCAGCTCTTAACGCGCTCCATAAAAAAGATTTGTTATTGAAACTCAGCTATCCACACTAGTCAAACGGTCACCGGGCTCAACGAAAATCTCGAGAAACTTCGGGACCCTTCGGGGTCACGGTCAGCTATGAAGAAAATCACTGAAAAAGTCAGTAGTATCTAGTATCGTTCTAGACACCGAGAGGGTCACTCTAACCACAGTACAGTATCGTAGTAACCGCTCAACCGAGTACATCAACGCGATATATTTGAGTCTAACGTTCATTGTAACGTCTCTATTATTTCATTTGCTTTATTTTATATCGAGTCAAGTCAATCACCGTGAGTTGATTATCAAGTTTAATATCGAGAACATTATCTAGTGCAGTGCAAAGACAATTATCAAATTAAAGTCGAGACATTCAACAGTGTACCCTTTAAAACCCTCTAGACGCGTGGTTTATGCCACAAATAAAAGTACATCAACGCTGTGGTTTCATAATTCACGTGTTCTTCATTTTCACCCCTTTCCACGTCACTTCTCCCCAACCCGTCTAAAATTCTAGCTTCAATATCTAACAAGATTGTAATAAAAATTTTGCCATCTCCTTTAGATGCCGAGATATTCGTTGAAAACTGACCAGCAGTCAAAATCGACTGAACCGTCCTAACGCTTTGCTACTAGGCCAGCAAAATTACGGTTTGGAAATCAAGGATGATAGGACAAGGATAAAACCCATTCGATATCATGCGGAAGAATGATGTGAAACACACTAAGTTTTTGGGATTGTAGCAAACCGGGTAATTGTTTAAAAAAATTCAAAACTGCAAAATTAAGCGTCCATGCGACCTTTTTTGCTTTACGCCGACGAAACCGTGATAGATAGGATAAAAATACATAAGACTTAATTTGTAGAGCATAAAATTTTCTACAAAAAAGTCACTGGCGGCATTTTCGTAATTTCAACCGTCAAGTCGCCAAGCGCGTTCAAAGTTGAACTACGAAAAAGCTGATTCACCGCCAACGCCGAAAAGTCCATTTTATTTGCAAACTGCAAATAATTTATGAAAAAGTTGATTAAAAAATCTGAAAAAAATTAGGATACATCTTGACTCTTCACAGAATGTCTCCAGGAGAGGAAATTTTTCTTAAAACATTTTTCGATTTTTCAGGAGTCCCCGTTTTTCTCTTTTTTTTTCATTTTTCAATCAAAATTTGCCATAACATAACTTTTGATCCAGTTATCTTATTGGAATAAGAACAAAAGGTGATTTTTTCTCGTTCTCTCCTCTCCATTTTCACTCTTTTGACCTTTTCACTCAACTTTCATATTTAATTTATTATTTGTTGATAAACTAAAAAATGCCGTTTTTTCAATATATAATCTGACTGGAAAATTTTTTGATCAAGCTCGGTAGCTTTATCCCAAACTTGAATCATTGGGATCAATCTTGAATTTTTTCATATTTTTCTTGGCATTAGTGAACGTAGATTTTTAATAATAAAAGGAAAAATTTTCGATTTTTGTCATTTTTTCAATATGTAAAAATTCTTTGATTAAAAAAAAAAAATTTGATATCTTGGTATTTTTTTATATTTTCAATACTTAGTGAGCTATGAATTATTTTATATTTAGGGAAATGTTGTCGTCGGGCGTGCCCTTTCACATTCTTTAAAGGGTCAAGATGCATCCTGATTTTTTTCAGATTTTTTAATCAACGTTTTCATAAATTATTTGCATTTTGCAACTAAATTGGACTTTTCGGTGTTGGCGGCGAAGCAGCTTTTTCGTAGTTCAACTTTGAGCGCGGTTGGCGGCTTGACGGTTGAAATTACGAAAATGCCGCAACTAACTTTTTTGTAGGAAATTTCATGCTCTACAAATTGAGTCCTATGCTTTTTTATCCTATCTATCACGGTTTCGTCGGCGTAAAACAAAAATAATCGCGGGGACGCTTAATTTTGCAGTTTTGAATTTTTTTAAACAATTTCCCCGTTTGCTACAATCCCAAAAACTTAGTATGTGTTTCATATCATTCTTCCGCATAATATTTCATGGTTTTTATCCTTCTTCTTCTATCATCCTTGATTTCTGGCGAAAAAAGTCCTTATTTGACTGGCCTGTACGGAATTGTATATTCAAGAGAATGTGAGAATTAATGAGTCGTTTCACCACCTCAATGCTGGAGTATTTTATAATATTTAAGGGCTATTGAAGACAGAATACTTTTCATTGATTCTGAAAGAATAACAATTGGAGAACTATAGGGGAGTTTATAAATACTTTTCAGAAGAGGGATGTTATACTTAGTTTAGACGAGATTAATCCTGAAATTTTAAGGTCCACTGGAATTTCTATGGATTTGAAATTTTTGAGTAGCAGGAAGACGCGGATTCTCCAACTTACTTACATTTTCAACCAAAACAAGAATTTTTGTGATACCTGTCTGAAAAGTGCACTTTTCGAAACGGTTTAGTGTGCGTACAGTTCACGAGCCTGCGCAAAGTGAATCTTACGCACTCGTGCACAAAAATAACCACTTTACCCCCACTACCGTTGCGAACAGTGAAATCGGCAGGTATCACAAAAAATAGGATGTTTTACACGTGCGTGAAAAAAAGTGGATCTTTACGCACTAGTAAGACAATATACTAATTCAGTATCAAGCTGATGGTGACTTTTCAACTAATTGAAAATTCAAGAATATGGACAGATTCACGCCAAATCAGCAGGCCAGAAAACTCGATACATACTGGGGATTTTTGTCTCGATTTTTTTCTGGAAAAACGGCGATTAGACAAAATTTTTGAAAAAACGACAATTGAGGGAGCTATGATTTTTCGAAAATGCGATTTTTTGTAAAAAAAAAAATTTTTTTTCCAACTTGACCCCAATGTTTCTGCGGGGTTTCAAGCTATCAAATTGCCCTTCGGCACAATCAAAGAGCATGACAAACCCTTAGAAATGAGATGTCATATATAGCATTATGTTTAGTTTGACGATGTATACGAGGAAACGTTTTTTTTCAATCATTAATTACTAACACCGCTAATTTTTTTTTTATCTGAAATTCTTACCAAAAATTGTCAATAAAATGAAAGGGATTTTGGCGCCATTTATAGTTTGTCTTAATAACCGTAGAACTACGACGAAAGACAAACTTTAATTGGCGCCAAAATTCTTGACATATTATAGATATAGGGGCCAATTTGGAAAAAAAAAAATTTCGGACAGACTAGCAATTTTCAAAAAATTATAACTCCCTCGATTATCCATATTTGTCAATTGCCCTTTTTTTTCAAAATTGTTGTCTAATCGCCATCTTTTCAGAAAAAATCGAGACGAAAATCCCCAGCATCGACTTTTTTGTCCTATGTACTTGATTTTTCTGAATTTCTATTGGTGTTTATGAAATAAGTGAACTAAACTTTACATTTTCCATAGTTTTTCCTTCAAATAGTGAATTTTTAATTACGAAATGCCTTGACATTGCAGTGCACTGAGAAAAAAATGTTTCAAAAATTAGTGTGCTACTCATCAATGCTGGGACATAACAGGGGGTCATCGAAAAATTCGAATGTGGCACCCCAATTTTTAGAGGGACTTGCGCCACTACTTCGCGCGATGCCCGTAAAACTTAGGGTGCCACATACGAATTTTCTGGTGACCCCCTGTTATGTCCCAGCATTAGTGAGTAGCACACTAATTTTTGGAGGGACTCTCACGGAATTATGGTGTATTTTTCTCTCCGTGTGGAGTTGTCACTAGATAAAAAATTAAAAGAACTGTACCGGAAATCCGAGTCTAATTTTTTAATCGTTCACATTATTATAATTTTTATTGAAAAGTCTTTGCCAACAAAACGAAAAAATTAATATGAAAAAATTCACAATTTGCAATCACCCAAATTTGTGTTTTATTATCAGACCAACTCCATTTCTCCCCACTCCCATATAGTACAATTCACTCGCAAAGAATATAAGTGAGTGAATTACAAAGAATTATTATGATCTATCCATCAGTTAACCCTATTCATCAAATAGAAAAAAACTTTTTTAGGCTTCAGGTCATTAATGACATAAACACATTTTCAATAGATTCTGTAAAAATATTGAGGTAGAACTGTGAAGAATTCTGTCACTTTGATCTATGCATTGATCATTTGTTACCAATTTTATTGAATTTTCCATCAATAAAAGAAAATTCTTAACAATAAAGAAAATCAAAATCACTCTTCGCTGTTCAAGAAAACTGAACGAAAAATACCGAGAATTCCGTCATTTCCCCTCAAAAAATCATTCCATAATTCTCCCAGGATTCCTGCAGATCTTTACCACCAATTATGATAAATTAACAAATAAGGAACTAATGAATCCAAAAAATGACCATTGAATAATGAGAACATACTTAATGAATAGTTTGATACCTTCGACATGTTACTATCATTGAAACACACTTCCGAGACCACCAATACTTTAATTCCCTAAACTGAAGATTACATTCATCTCACTATGAACTGATTTCCCTGCTAAAATTTCGTTAACCTCCGGAGCAATCACTGATGCAAATGACAACATGAAGTTTAACACTTGTTGTAACTTGTACGACAAAAGGAAGACTGAAGCACGGTGCCAACAAAATTAAAAAATTCATTCGAAAAAATTCACAATTTGCAAACACCCAAATTTGTGTTTTATCATCAGAATAACCCTATTTCTCCCCACATAATTTTTTGCGGAATAAACT